AAAAAAAAAAAAATATCCGCCAACCATCACTCCAGTCTTAAAAAAAGCCCGACAAAAGGCTAATGAAGTTAACTAACAGGACATTAATTAATCTAAAAACTCAGAACAAAGCAAAGAACACCAGCCAGGCAAGTTCAGCGGAGCCTCCTGGCTTCCCTTTCGGATTCCATCAGTGTGAGAATATCACCTTCCCTGACAGGCCCCTTCACGTTCCTCATGATAAACCGATTTGAGTCATCCATAAACTTGACTCTCACCTGGGTCACTTGGCCCCTTGACCCTGTTCGCCCTATAACCTTGACCACCATGGCAAACTTGATTTGAGAATCCATTCTGCAAAGGTAGAGACTATATATCCAGTGAAAATAAATAAATAGGTAAAATAAACAAGAACAAGATGATAAGTAAGCAAGCGGGCAGGTAAATAAGACACTCGTCCAAAAGCTTTAAACAATGTAATAAAGTTTTTTTTTTTTTGTTTCATATATAAATGAATGATAGAAACAGGTAAATTGGCCAATGTTTGTTATGATGGGCAGATAATAAGCTGTCTCCAGTGATATCACCTTGATTATATAAACTGCTATTGTTATTATCTAGAAGATGTTAACTAAGCAGAATAATTAACTCCAGACATAATAAAATGCTAATCAACTACTGTGCCAGTGATGGGTTACATGTGTTTTTATTCATTAATATTCATCAAATTAAACAAATAAATAAAAACTTATTTTCAATTATCAAGAAGGAAAAATAGCCAAACCCAAGTAAAAAGGGCGAGTACACAAACAAAATTTGTCAAAAAAGATGATGGTATCAACAACTCTCCACAAATTGCTGCATTTTGTACATGTTTTCCTTTCTCAAGGATAAGGATTACGTTTCATATACAATGAACTGCAACAAGCAAAAGGGTAAATAGAAATACAAAACAAGAAACTGAGCATATTAATAAATCCAAATATAACTTATCATGAACATAAAAATCGCATAATTTAAAAACTTATATATAATACAATTACCCAATAAGAAGGAGAAGAAATAAGAATACTAACTAACTGCGAGTAATAGCAGATCTCAAGAGAATCCCCTAGCCTAGCCTAGCCTAGCCTTACAGAGAGAGAGAGCTGCGCAAGGAGTGAAAATGTGGTGGAGATGGAGCTTTCTAAAACCCTAGCGACCCTATTTATTGGGGCTGTGTTATGTTTAAGGACATATCTGCCCTCGCGTTATTTTTTTTTATTTTATATATATAAATAAAAAGAACAAAAAAAAAAAAATGGAAAAGTAAAGAAATAAAATAAATGATACAGAAGAGAACAAATCTGTTTGGGCAATGCTATATGTACACCCCTTTTTAATATATATGTACACCCCTTTTTTTTTATTTATATATATGTACACCCCTTTTTAATAAATTACACAAAGGGTAATGCTATATGTACACCCCTTTTTTACACACAGGTGTACATATAGACACCCCCCATCTGTTTTCATCGAAGCCGATGGCAGACTGTTCTTCTTCTCATCTTCTTCTCTCACCCATTATCTCTCACCACCCATCACACTTGAGGCAAACAATACGCTGATCTTTGCACGATTGCAGCAGGCTTCCTAATTACACGATTGCAGCAGGCATTCAGCTGGCTTCCATGTCCGAGGTCATGCCGTATTGCAATTGATTTTCCCCATCAATATTATCTGTTCAATTTTTGGGAGTTCGGGTGTGTACAGGTATCCTTAGTTTCTACCGGATTTTGTATGGTAAATATTGTTGCACATGCTCCTCCTCATTAACAACACGTTTTCCTTCTTCAGCCTCTCGTTCTCCCCCAACATCTCCGTCGTGCCGAGATATATATATATATATTTTGAACGCCCCATTCCAGCTCGCGCAAGCCTGAGCAACAATGGAGGAATACAGCAAAGACCTCTTGAAATTGGAGACCAAGACTTCGGCCGCAGCCTCCACCTCATGTTTAGGCATGATCCTTGTGCTATTTGTATAACAAACTTATTCGCTTCTCGTTTGTTTCTTTCTTTGAATGTATAGTAGTTAAAATAAGACAGTTTGTTAATTTTGCAGACTCAAAACTCTTCGTTTGCAAGAAAGACAGCTCCTTTTCTCCGTCTGAAGCTCCTCTTCTTAAGCCCACAATGTTTCCTGTTCCCAAGAGTCAAGGTATCCCTCACTCACCAACGCCGCTTTGAATTTTATATAAATTGTGCTGATGAATACAAATTTTATAGGGTTTTAGTTGATTGCCACCATGTAGCTATGTTTCATTCTGCTGATGATGATTAGTCTTAATACTCCATTTGTTCTTGATTTATTGCTTCTGCTAGATAGGATTCTTGGATATGAGTTTTTAGCTTGGTATTTGACCAAAGGGCAAATAGAGCTTAGTTCATCTTGCTTTTTGCTGTGGGATTTTATCATTTCTAACTCAAGGCTGTGTTCATTTATGTTTGTGCTTGACGAGCATAGTCTTAGTCGAGCTCCAACTTAACTGAATGTAGACAATTTGGAGTAGCCGAAGAGGGTGTAGCTAATTTAGGTTTCTTGTTGAGCTAGATGATAATTGTTGTACTTGTTAATGTATAAAAAACCGCAACAGAATATTAATTTTCAGCATAGAAGTGCATGAAAGTGTAGCCTTCAGAACATAATTCAATTGCATGTTTGTTTGGCTCGATCACAAATCAAGTTGCATCGAAATTTGGCATAGAAATTACGCAGTTGTCTAGGAAGAATGCATCAGTATATTTAAATGTCTTATGTTGACATGACAGTTATTTTCTCCCAAATAATGATTGCTCAAGACGATATTCTGGAAAAAAAAAATGGACTTACTGCATCTTTCATATTATTATATGAACTGATAAAACTGTCACCCCAACTCACAAAAATATCAAGTCAGAAATTCATATAGTAAAGCATCATCACCAAGATACAGCCAAATTATCATTCCATGGATTGTAAGCATAGAATCCTCTTTAAACAGTCATCAAATGCAGGTTGTTGCATATAACCTTCCACAGTTGTTTCCTTCCCAACACTCATCGGATCTGTTTTAACTTTTCCATTTAGTTCATGAAAGGCATAATTGGTATCTAATACAGTTAAGAAAGGGATAACTGGTATCTAATACAGTTTTAGTTGAATTTATGCATATCATAATTTCAGTAATCTGCTTCAGCATCTCCAATTTGTTCCTATTGGCTGACCATACTGGCTACTGCTACCAAAACCAACTAAAGCAATTACTCAGCAATAAACTCTAGTAACTATGACAAATATAAACCCAATGCATACCGACATAAATAAAAACTATAATTTAAACAAAAATGATTTGTACCATTGGGGTGCAATTAGATATCTGAGCATAGGAAATAAAACAGAATTAACTCAAGGAACAAAAGGCAGATCATTCTAAAAGATAACCCATTAGATCACATCAAGTAGGCCTGTTATAGACTTATAGTTATTTTTCTGAGAAAATAGTAGCATAAATGGAGCCTATATGTATACAACAGGCTAATGAAAAAGGCGAAACATCCACAAATTTTCGTAGCATGCTGTGCATGAGCTTAACCAGAACAACCTGTAACATGAAACTATTGACCACTTACCAGAGTAACTAGTCATGTGGTCCGTCTTCCTTACACCAACCAATCTCTGCAATGTATAAAAGAAATAACCGTGTTAATCAATCAAATGGAACAAACTAACCAGAGAAATAATTAAATAGTAACTACAGTTTTACAGCAATGTGTCTGGAAAAAATATAAAACTTTCTTAAAGAATATGAGTTTGTAGATTGGTATTTGACCAAAGGACAAAAAGAGCTTAGTTCATCTTTCTTTTTGCTGTGGGATTTTATCATTCCTAACTCAAGGCTGTGTTCATTTATGTTTGTGCTTGACGAGCATAATTTTAGTCGAGCTCCAACTTAACTGAACGTAGAAAATTTGGAGTAGCCGAAGAGGGTGTAGCTAATTTAGGTTTCCTGTTGAGCTAGATGATAATTGTTGTGCTTGTATGTTTCCTTGAATGTGACTTTAAGAGAGAGGAACATTATCCAGATATCTCTGATTCCTTCTTTGTGAGCAATTTTTCTATAATATATATAACTGTTGCATTTAAGATTTTTCTTTATGAACAATTTCTTTATAGTTTATTCAACTAACTCTATGCTTTAGTAACCTAATATGCAGGAATCATATAGACAAAGAAAACCTCACCTTGAGCAAAATGAGAGATGGAAACAAATGGTTAACATCATAAAATCTGAAAAGCCATTTGGTATAGTTCACCTCATTGACGTGCTTCGTTTTTGCGATGTTAGTACCAACCTAACAATGACAGTCAATTAAAATGTGGTAAAGGGTTCTCTTTGAATTGAATTATGTTTTCTAGTAGTTGCATTGTTAATATAGGGAGGTATGGGGGAATTCCATTCATTGGTTCTGCGAATAACACACTTTGAGTTTGGTTGTTGATTATGATTTATACCCGTTATTGTATAGTGTGATGTCCTCTTTTTTACATATGAAAAGCTATGTGGTAATCCCAATTAGCGAAGTACTGAAAGGTTCCACTTTTGTTGCTCACAGTTCTAGGAAAAGTCCAGGACTTTCTCAGTGTCTTATCTGAATCGAACAAAAAGCTGATGCACGACGCAAAGGTACAAACTAAATACTTATGTTGATTGATGCTTTTTGTATTTGACTATTGTAATTTCTGGAACTTTAGACCTGAAGGCTCTTTTCATCACAGGATAATCCCGAGAATTATGATATTGAAATGCTCAATGGGAAAGAATCGGAATACATTGAAATGGTAATTGTCCTCCTTCCCAATCTCCTAAAGAGTTACTTTCTAGTTTCAACAGTTGGGTAAGCACAAAATTATAAATTGCAAAAATTAATAAAAGAAAAGGAAAAACTCAATTAACTTTCAAGGTATTTAAAATGAAACAACCCCCTTGCATTTGCATTTTTCTTGACAAATATATCCCGATCATTGGTGCAATTTGAGGTTTTTTTTTGTTATTAAAGCTAAGGATATTTGCATAATATCAGTCAATTTAATGATGCGTCTTATTACTTTTGGTCACAGGATCTGATGCTGGGAGTCGCTGATCTTCATACCCCAGAGGCTGTAGCTGCTGCAGAATCTGCAATGGCTGGCCGTGAACCATTGATTCCTTTACCAAACAGTGAAGATAGCAGTGATGATGATGATGAGGATGATGATGATGACAGAAGGGAGAACAAGTTTAGTACACAAGATTACGAAGACGGTTCATGTTCAAAAGATGCTGAAACAGATTGTTCTTCTAAGCCATTGAGAAAAGAGAAACCGAAAAAGCGGCCCAAGATTGTCGAGCTCTCATAAGAATCTTATATTAAGAGGGCTTCCAGTTTTAGCTTGTCGTAATTGTTTTGTGCTTCTTTTTTCTTTTTATTTTCTCTAGTGTGGTTTTTATTGAGCCCAATAGGGTCTTGAAGAGAATGCTGAATCTTGATTTTGTTGTGAATCTAAATTTCCACATCCAGGCTGATGAGCAACTTATAGGACATGTTAAGGTTTGTGGTATTTCTAGTTCATGTTCAACTGAAGTAGAGCTCTGTAATTTTCTATTGACATCCAGAAATCGAATTTCTATATATTTCCCAATTTTCCCAATCACAGGTTCAGAAATCTGTATCATTTTGTTAAGACTTTACGTTTTGTGTGCGTGCCTGCGTCATAAGCCTTGTGTAATTTCTAACAAAGTCCCTTGCATCCCAGCCAACTTGAAGCTCGCATATTGAAATTATTAACACAATAATAAGCCACTCAAGGCTAAACAAAAACAAGGAGAACAAAAAAAATAAAAACACCATCTCTTTTTTATTTACTGCACCATGAAGCCACTGAATATTAAGCATCCTCAGACACCATTGCACACATCACTTAACCAGAACAAAAAGAACCGAAACCAGAACCCAAATAAAAAAAAAAAAAACACCACACACATGACATCACACAAGCATCTTACAGTTCTAATAGCCAAACGCAGCTTTCCACACAGCCTCACTCGAAAGGGGTGAAGAAGAAAATGTCGTTGAGTCGATCATTACTAGGCGAATTCCCACCGTACACCAACATTCCTTCTTGCCCGTGAAGTTGCCCGCTGCTAAACGCACACCATCCCCTAGGGCCTGGGTGGTCCTCACAGCCCAGCCCATCGTCCCATTTTTTCCACACCAGCGTCTCTGTGTCAAGCGCGTAAACATCCCCCGCAAATTTCCCTGCCCCCATATGGCCCAAATCGCTTGGATCAATCTCCCCACCATACACAAATATATATTTCCCGATCCCAAGAGTCGAGAACACGCTTCTCGGGCTCGGTTTTTCTCCATCCGTCTCCACATGAACCCATTTTCCTTCTTTCAGGTCGAAATAATGCACGTCATCAACTTCCATCCCTGCAAAACCGTACAAGACCCATATTTTCCCGAGCACAGACGCTAGCCCAGGCCCGCCCCTCGGCTTTACACTCTCCCCCGGCAGTGGAAACTCGACCCATTCCCTGTCAACTACATCAAAAGCCCACAAGTCGTTCAATCTTCCTGAATTGCCACAACCGCCAAAAATGTACACTCTCCGCTCGTCGGCCGCCATCGAGTGGTAGCTCCGGTGGGCCGGGCCGGAGGGAAGCAGGGCCCACGTGTTGGTATGAGTGTCGAACGAGTAGAACTCGTTCAGCTCCTTGTGGGCCTCGTCTCTTCCTCCGAAGACATAAATGGTCTCGCCAATGGAGGACATAGAGACGCCAACACGTGGTGGCGGAATTTGGCCTTGCGCGTTGGCCACGGACCATGTCCAGTCAACAAGGTCAAACACGTGGAGATGGTTGTCGACAGGGACACGTGGCACAAACTCGCCGCCGAACGAGTAGGCCTTCTGCCCCACGACTGTGATGGCGTGCGAGCTTCTCGCCCCGGGGCCCTCGCCTGTCTGCTCCAGCTGCAAAAGGAGAATAGTTTTTGTAGAAAAGATTTCAAATTTGATAGAGACAGTAAGGACAGTTACAGGGGGGGCTTTAAGAAAAAAAGAAAAATCTGATCTTTGAAAAATTAGAGTTTTGCAAACAGGAGCTATTGACTTTTGAAAATTAGCATCGTATCCTACAAAAAAAGGTGAAAAACATAGCTTTTGCAGTCAACAAATAGAGTTAGGGTTTACTGGTCAGGTATCAAGAAGCAGACTGGGAACCTATCAATCTGTCTTTAATCCCTAATTTCTAATGATAAAAAGCCAAAAAATCAAATACAGGCAAGAACATGAACAAGGGTTTTTGATCAAGATCAGCAAACATGAAACAGTGTCATGATTGTTTGCCTTCACGCAAAGATCTCAGCTTTTTCACTGTATGTACTCAATATTAAGCAGTTACAAGACAATTCATCGTAAACTAAAAACGACCAAATAAACAGAATAAATAAGAAATACAGAAAAATTGTGTCTTTTTCTAACAAACAATCGCCAACCTTGAGCCATTTTCCTTTTGCAAGCTTAGACATGATCGAGTGAAAACTTGCCGTTCTCAGGAAGCGAAAGAAGTATCAGTAGTGCGACTACAAACAAGCCCTGTGACTGTGGTTCAGATTTCAGAATCAGACCAAATAGAGTTTAAATTCTTGAATGCCAACGGGTCCCACTGAGCCAAACTACTACTTTTAATATTGTTAACCTGACCTGGTGTGTACCGACCGGCTCTTACGCGCCCAGGATTTTTCAATCGGTGTTGTTAAATACCGTCCCCTTTTTACTAAATATCGCCCCCCAAAAAGACAGTTTTAATTTTTTTAATATAAAAATAATATTTTTTTTTTTTGGCTGGCCGGCCTTGAATGTCGGCCGTAGCCGTGCCGGCCTTCTTTTTGCCGGTTGGCCGGCCCATGCACGGCCGGTTTTGCCGGCCGGCCGGCCTTTTTTTTTTTCATCAAATTTTTAATTATATACATTATATTAAAATTTAAATTTATGTTATAAATTAGAATTTAATATTTCATAGTTAGAATTTAGAAATTGTTAAAGTATAAATTATAACTAATTATCTTATAGAGTTTTATTATTATTATATTAGAACTCATTAATTATTAATTAAACTTATGTTAGAATTTTATTATTATTATGTTAGAATTTCACTATGTATGTCAAGATGAATATCACATTATCATTAATTAAACTTATTATTATTTTAAATTGATAAATGATCAAATATAACTAAATGAACATGAAATATGGAAAAACATTATGGGCTTTTACATAATAAATATGTGGTTTAAAATTATAATTTACCTTGAGTAGTCTTTTTTTTTTTTTTTTTTGGATCTGACATGCAACTAATTATTATTTTCTATTGGAAATATGAAGTTTGTCGAGTTTGGGGTACACTGATTGCTTGAAATGGTGATGGAGTTTTGGACTTGAATAGATAAGACCATTTTGATGAGTTCATTGGTTGATTTATTGAGTTTGGGCTGGGCTAAGTACAAAATCAAAAAAAAATTTGAAAACTAATAATGGTTAAATAAAAAAAAATAGGCCTGGGCTTCAGCCCAGCCCAGGCCTTAAATAAATCCGTCCATGACGACAATTCATTTATATTTTGTATAAAATGTATATACGTTTGCATGAGAAAAAGAATATATAAATTTTATCATCTAATCACAATTAAAAATTTACATTTTCACATTTAAATGAT